TCATCCTGATGCCAGTGACTTTGTAACAACTTTGTTTGTACGTTGATGAAGGTTAGACATCCAGGTAAACGATACTCGTAAGAAAATTCAAACTCTACTACTGGATCAGTTAACGGATTTATTTCCGGACGTTTCGAGTGACATCCATCACTCTTCTTCAGCGTCACAAATGAACAGAGAACCGATTCACTCTTATATACAAGTAACTAGAAAAACAGGGACAGTAACTTTTCCTATGGTAATTTCTTACCATAGGAACCTTCCTTACATGACAAAGACTCTTACGGTTGTTGAACAGGTTTTTCTAGTTCTAATTCCTGTACATTGAGTGAACCGTTCTTTTACATGATAAAGCTTCTTACGGACCTTGTTGTTTAACCGGTTTTTCTAGTTACTTGTATATAAGAGTGAATCGGTTCTCTGTTCATTTGTGATGCTGAAGAAGAGTGATGGATGTCACTCGAAACGTCCGGAAATAAATCCGTTAACTGATCCAGTAGTAGAGTTTGAATTTTCTTACGAACTTTGTTTGTAGTAAGTGAAGATTTAATCTGTGAATAAACAAGTCATGAAACTTGAAAGGGCTAAACCTTGAAGATGCCCGTCATGTATTCAAACCTGCTAGGGATTCAAACCCAGGACCACAAGGTTAACGTCACTGTCATTTGTTGTCCAAAGTTGTCAATTTCTGTTCCCCCCAAAAAACAACTACATATCTACAGTTGTTAATACTTGTTTAAGCCTTTGTTTTAAAATGGTGCACTAAAAAAATGTGCACCTAATTTTTTAGGTTGGGTGCACCAGTGCACCTATTCCCAAAAATGAATTTCGAGCCCGGTCTAAGGTCTAACTTGGCCAAACATGCTGCCCCGACGGCTGACTAAGCTATGGGAGAGAGTGAGAGAGTGAGCTAAGGTTTACACGACAGACATAAACATTTTAATCTCAGATTTTACCAAAGTCAAGTTCGAGAGTCTTTTTTTTTACTGCTCAACAACTGGTTGCATGCATAGAAAAGAAAAGTCCAAAACACCGCTTCTCTTACAGTCAACCTTATGGTGGATTCTTGGTGTCTTTTCTACCTACAAATTTTCCTTCCTGAGCACTATGTGACTTACATCATAACCCTGGCTGGATACGGTCTTTGATACATAAAACAACTCTGTTACCGCCCCCCTCCCCACTCCAAAATATTACCGATCGTCTGTCTCCCCTCCTTGCAAATCAATCACCTTATCCATGTCATCCTCTACACAAACGGTACTATCGTGTCTCCTCTGTATGCTATCGGCCTCGGAACACTTTTGTTTTAGACTGAAACGCATAGAATTTGACCAAAACACACAGGACAACAACAAACCACGTTTCAAGCAAAGCTGTTCAGGTCAGGGGTCACATAAAAGCGCCCCTCAGCGGATTATTTACAAAGTGCAATTCGTTGGTGTAGTTTTTCTATTTCAGGATGATTAATTTCATCCTCATTGAATAGTAATTGATTGACCCATGTTCAAAGAACTGGTGTTGGTACGGTGCAAAAAATTGAATAAATATGAAAGTGCCTTTTTATCTTCCTTACTGGACCACACAAAAGCGCCCCCATCGGTTGCTTAACTTGGTGCAGCGTTAACTCGTGGGTGACAGTTGCCGCAACTTATTTTCAAAATTCTGTCTTTTTGCTTCATTCACCTCGGAGGAGATTTGCCTACAATAGTCAAGAGAGTATCTACGACGATTTAAAGTTACAACTTACCACCAAAGCGGACGTGGCGCGTCTTCCTGGGCGGAATTTTTACCCAGCTCGTTCTTCCCTTCCATGTGCACTCGCCATCTTGGAAAGCTAAAGGCGTGTTTCACGCACAGGTGCTGTGCCACCTGTAAATCATAAGCAAAATTTGCATTCGATAATCAAGTTTAAGATTAGATTTACGACAAGCCAATAGGCAATCATTACACATACAGGCCTGAAAAATACAATGATTTAATTATGACTTTCATCTTACAAATTCGAATTGTTCAATTTTTCTATCCTCGTCATTTAATTTTATAAATTTAGGAAAACACACGTTAGTAAATGATCTTTCTTTGACCCATTTATGTTTTGAACATTTTCTAGCTAGTAGGTGACAAGTTACAAACATTACAGCTAAGTGTTCCCATACACTTTACAGCTAAGTGTTCCCATATCATAGTTTCAACGATAAGATCACAAAGTTACAAAGTATATATAGCCGAATATAACCGAAACGTCCGCAATTTGTGACTAAAAGGACGCTTCTGGCGTCAAAAGTTATGGTCATTTGACAGTTCTTAGCCGAGCAATAATTCGATTAAAAGGCCGGCCAATCAAATCAACGGATATCGTCTCATAACGAGGCTAAAAAACATGCATACATAAGTCCAGGTGCCGCATTACGTCATGCGAGGTAGTTACGTAATCCAGGCGAATCATGTAGATACATGTATGCATGGTTAAATGTAGGCAGGATTGGGTGTAGATATTAGCGTTTAAAGTAAAAATAACGCAAACGATTATAAAACTAGTTGTTGCAATATTTTCTATATGATCTTTAGTCACGTCTAGGTGTTTTCTGGACGCTTAGAACTGATACTAACAAGAACAAAATCAAGGAAAATATAGTCAATAACGAAAAATGAAACGCCTAAACGCATAAACTTTTCGTTCCGGTTTTTCCACCAAACCTTTTCTAGAAGTGTAATAATTCATACCTGAGGTGTCCAAAAGAATCTTTATATCCCTGGCGAACGTGCACTCCCTCACGTTCTAGTTAATTGGATGCTGTGATGCATCCACAGGCGCCATAATACCAATTCATCACACGTGTCAATGGGGGCCTCTAGCAGTTAAAGGAATTATTGCAGGTACTTGAGGGGATTTTTTACGTGCAATAATTTCACCGACTGCTAGAAGTCGCTTTTGATACATGGCGCAGAGGGTCATTAGTCTATGTATCCTTGATGCTGATTGGTTATCATCACGGCAACGTTTTTGAGTCATTGAGCCTGATTGGCTAATACAATTCCTCGTTGGTGATTGGTTAAAAACAACGATGACGTGTAACTTTACGACCAAATATGGGAAACCGACTCGAAACCATAAAGCTGCTTTACGTAAACAACTAAAGTTACGATGGATTTTCGGTCGAACGGGACTATTGTGGGCAATTATGTTCCCCCAGATAAGCTACAGAGTTGTAAGAACTGCCTTTACAGAGAAAAGGAGCCGATTTATGAGGTTAGGAGAGGTGAAAATGCTCGGCAACGGCGTAATATTACAACGAACAGGGGAGGGGGGCATTATGTGAGGATGGCATTCAGCACCAAGGACAGGGATAGCTTCAGTTTGAACCTGGTCTTTTCTTCATGACAACAAACTGAATATTATCACACTGACGAAGAATGTACGAAGGAAATCAATTTGTGAATTTTTCGGTCTCATTCTCAATATCATATCAATGGAAACAGAGTCTCTGCCAGGCGTGTAACTATGGCAATCCCCAAGCTGTTACGATTTTACCTTCCACCATACATCTGCTTGGTTTACATTCATATGGTAACTTCTTTCCCAGCACAAGAGCTACTTACCATCCCAATTTCGTCACCCTAGCATGTCTAAATCATGAGATATCAAAACCGGAAGTTCAGCTGCAGTACCATAACAAGCTGCTAAAGGGTCCAAAATCTAATCATTTCCAGGTCTCATCAAGACCTACCAACCTACCGAGTATCAAGACAATCCATTTAAGCCTTCTAAAGTTATCGTGTCTACAGACACACACACGCACACACACACGAACGCCTCTGAAAACATAACCTTCTTGTCGAAGGTAACGTTACATGTAATTAGATTTTTTGGACCAATCTTATGGAATAATCCGTGGACATTGGACACACTAACATCATGTTTCCCCAAACTATCAAAAGCATTTTTTCAGTCAGCCTAGGTCAAAAAAATTTTACCTTTATGTGAGACAAAATTTTAGGGGGGGCCTAAGTTTTGTATTGCCGCAGAGATTGTCAATTCTAAATTCATAATGCATTTTCGTTCTTTTATCAGGCTAATGGATTGGGCACTGTTTGCTTCAGAATCTGTATTTTTCGTGTCAATCTGCAGTGCATAAAAATTTCCACCACCCCAAGCAGTTCATATATAAGATAATTTTGTGGTCTTTCATACATAGGGCTTCACAGAAGCAACACAGAATCATCTTACAAGTACATGTAGGTGCAAAAATTTTATTCCATCAAATTCACAAATTCTTGGCTATATCATCCATGTTTAGGGGTTACATAATATATCTTTGTCATATCTGGGCTGCGATAATGTTTGATATGGGTGTTCCTGCCCATGTGATAACTAGCTATATCACACAGGGTTCTAACGGGTATCATCCGGGCTTTCAAAAGTTTCATATGAGAATTCAAAATGTGTTTCGCGTTTGCTGAGAGCGCCAACTTTGAAAAATCGAATACCAGTGTGCATTCTCTGGGGTGGAATATTAAATACATTGTACAATACAAAACCATTGTATTCCGCATCACCCTCGGTCCTAGCCCTCCTGTGGGTCAGATCTCCCTCCAGTCTTTCGGTGATCCAACCAGCAGTCAGGCTGGTACCTCGGATGATACGGAATACACAGTGTCACTGTAGTACTTCTATTCTACTCGGTATATTCAGGCCACACCAATTCAATTTGTTGTTTCTCATTTTTCTTCAGAAAAAATATGAAGTGACAGGGCAAAAAAAAAAAAAACAGGCCAAGGCACCCCGATTTTAACCGGAATATGAGCCATGAAGTGAACATACCAGGCTGGTTTATAATTAAAATAATAGATTTTGAACTTTTAATAAAACAAAATTAAAATTGCATTGTTACATTGAAAAACTAGGAAAAAAAAAGGACTTTCTTAAACTGTTTGAGGCCAAAATATGTCTTTCATTGAGCCTTTTGCAGTTATTTTAGAACAAAAATTTTTTTTTTTTCAAATCAGAAAAAAAATGGACAGGGCGATCCGAGAAGCAACAAATTAAATTAGTGTGGCCTAACATGTACAAGTACAATTGTCAGCTGCCTTTCATGCCAGTATGACTATCACCTAAAACAATTTCAACAAAAGCTAACGCCTGCATGAGACAGTCACAGAGAGAATCTTTTACAATCCCGTCTTTCCTACTGAGAAAGCTCGAGGCCATGTCGTGGGAAATAGAGATTCTAGGGTTGAGAGATTCCCGTGAGTCCTTGACAATGTCGTGAATGATGTTCCGTCCGCTGGTCCTGGACCCGCTCACATACACTCCAAAATACCTGCCAATGGCTGCGTAGGACATGCTGACAACTTTGTGTTCCTGCAAGAGAAAAAATATGAGAATGTAATACTACTGTTTTTTATTTTGTTTTGTTTACAATCCTTCTTGTAATATTGTGTGCTCTACACAAATGGACAAGAGGACAGCCTCCCCCTATAGCCTAATGGAACAGTCCACTCCATGTTCCAACTCTATCATAATCAACTTTATTGACACAACAAAAGTACAGCGACTTTCATAAGGTCTTTAACATGTAGATATGCAAATACAAGAAAATAAACCTACATACAAGACACTATATGAATCAACTTATACTACTTGTGCTATAATAAGGTCTAAACATTCTTTGATATATTTACCTATTTGTACACAGTAAGGGTTATTACCTTCTAGAATGAAATTGAATTTACCTGTCATATAAGTTAGTTGCCTGCCCAACTATAACTAAGAGATCGCAAGACTAGGAACTTTAGAGTATTACAGAGATCTGGTATAGAGGAAAATCTATTGGCACATTAAGCTTGTTCCTGTGAAGGTAGCTTTTTGGCATCAAGTTAATATGGATTTATATGGTGTCAAGAATATAAAATAATCTAAACTAGAGAAGTAACTTTTGCAAAGCAAATGCACAATGTTTACTTTTGAACATGGTCTGCTCTGTTAATTCTTACTCAAACACATTTGCATACATGTAGTACTAGTATATGGTGAGAGGAACAGACCACGAAATTGCAACATTATGTAACCAACACCAGTCACCATGGTGACAGACGTCAACAAATCATGTTATTGGTGAGGAGAAGAAGAGGAAGAAACTGAGCAAAAACGGTATATTTTCCTTCGGTAAACATAATTGATGACAGGTAAATATAGCGACACATGACTGCATTCTAGATCTTACCCTTGTGTCAGGAAAGTCCTGGTTGAGGAGGCTGTACAGCATGACCTCCACGGAGCGGAAGTGTAACTTGAGTGGAGCCATACTCGCGTCGTTCTTTATCGTCTGCTGCTCCAGCAAGTACAGGTCTGCTGGGGGTAAGGTGGCGAGGATCACGGATACCTGCAGAACAGAACAAAAATCCACAGGGCTCGAACCTACATGGTAGGATTTGAACCCGGGACCTCTTGGTCCTGAGCCGAACATGCTACCATTTACACCACACTCCCTGGTTAAAACTGTACGAACTGTATGAAACTGTAAGAACTCACGGCTTCTAGATACTCGTGCGTCTGTTACCTACATGGTAGGATTTGAACCCGGGACCTCTTGGTCCTGAGCCGAACACGCTACCGTTTACACCACTCAACCCCCGGTTAAAACATACGAACTGTATGAAACTGTAAGAACTCATGGCTTCCAGGTACTCGTGTGTCTGGAACCTACATGGTGGGATTCGAACCCAGGACCTCTTGGTCCTGCGCCGAACACACTCCCATTTACACCACACGACTCCTGGTTAAAACTGTACAAACTGTACGAACTCACGGCTTCCAGGTACTCGTGCGTCTGGTACTTACATGGTGGGATTCGAACTCGGGACCTCTTGGTCCTGAGCCAAACACACTACCGTTTACACCACACTCCCTGGTTAAAACTGTACGAAACTGTAAGAACTCACGGCTTCCAGATACTCGTGCGTCTGGAAACGTCCTGACAGGAAGCAGGGCACCTCCTGAGTGTCCCAGTCATGCAGGGTCCCGTCCCGACACAGGTGAGCCCAGGACAGGTGCTTCAGTCCAGCCTTAATGGACAACACACTCCACACTCTCTGTACAGGGAAGGAACACAGTCAATAAGTATATAGGCCACACCAATTTAATTTCTTGGTTAACGGATTTTTCTAGAAAATAATGGAGTGGGCGGGCGAAAAAAAACAGGTCTAGGCATCCTATTATGGCCCAAAATGGTACGATGGGAGCCATGAAGTCAACACACCAGGCTGGTTAAAAATTTAAACAATGAATTTTGAACTTTTGATGATACCATTGCATTGAAAGATGGAACAACTGTAACAACTAGGATGAAAAGGACTGTTTTCAGGTGTTCCGGGGAAAATATGAGCATTTTGCAGTTGATTCTGATCTTTTATTTTTATTTGCAAATCAGAAAAAAATGAAGCGGGCGTATCCGTTAACCTTGAAATTAAATTGGTGTGGTTTAAAAAACACACATTGTACGATGGTAATGGTATGCCTCACCAGTGCATGGGTTCGTCAGTTCAATCCACCCATCATTGGGAATTTTGGCCCTTGATTCAATATTCCATCGGGGTGGAGGGCCAGCAGTGTACTTTTGATAAGTCAAATGATGTGGCATGATTCCTTGTGATAGAACAGTGTTCGAAATACCTGTCTGCAGTCTGCAATCTGCAGATAGATTTTCAAGATTGAAGAAGAAAAAATTTATACAATCTGCAATTTTGCAGCAGGAAAAATTGGCACTTAGGATTTGACGCTTTGGCTCCAAGGACAGACAACACTTAAGCTCCTGTTTTGAAACAACAGGAGCTTCTTCACTAATTTGCATCAACCTTGTCTTGACTTGTCTATCTTTTGTTTCCTTTTGGACTTCCAAATATTTGTCTTAACTAATTTGCATATGAATCAATAGCTCATGCTTATAAACCTGCAAGATTGTAGTATGGAGGCTTGTGTATTTGCAGAAAGTATTAATTTTCCAAATTGCAGAACAAAATTTTTACTCTTCTGCAATATTGCAGAGCACTGAAAAAAAGTATTTCGACCACTGTAGAAGTTTTCTTTGTTACCGAATGATTGGTCCGGTACCAAGGAGGTTTAAAACCTTGGCAGTATTCAGCAGCTTGTAAGCATCATTACCACTTAGCTAATTACTCTTGCTTGTAGTAGCTTAATTCCTTTTTCCTACAATAGTCTGTACATGTAATTTGTGCATAGCTACATGTACCTTCAGTTTTTTTTATTCTGAACACCCATGAGGAGGTGGGGTACAAGTTTGTTAAATGAATGTTTTCAAGATACAAGGCTACACACTGAACAATTTGATAATCTTTATCATTTGATGATTACTACTAATAATAGGTACTTTGTGAATTGCTGCTGTTGATTTTCAGTGAAACAGTTCCCAACATTTAGTTATCTATTTAATTCTTCTGTGTTCTTTAACCTGGGTAGCAACACTAAGTAACTTAAAACTGCTTTTAATATAAGGCCACACCATCTTAATTTTATGGATGACATCCTCTGAAGATCCCCAAACTAGTGCGCGCGGGCGAATAATAAAAATTCCGGCCAAAAATAAAAATGCTACTAACCTACAGGTATACCAAGCTGGCATTGTGAATTTGCGGCAGTACATAGCGACGTATACGACAAACCGGCACATGCTGGCTTTTTGCGGAATTTATGAATCGGCACTGTACGTTCGTATGTTCTTGATTCGTGGAGCTTCGGTAGCCTGGGTGCCCGGCTCCGTATTGTCGCTAACTACCATGGACTACCCAGGCCTAGAGCCAGGTCAGAGCCTCGGTGAACATGATTTTTTTTAGAACAGGCGAAAATCAATGCGAGCGCGGATGTCATCCATAAAATTAAGTCGGTGTGGCCTAAAGGGGGCCGTGGGTACATATACAACCAAATGTAACAATATACAATACATCACAAGACAAAGACATACTTATCTCTCTAGTACTTGATGACAGCATGAAAACACAAAAGGTAACGACACGTTTATTTCTTTATTGGCTTTTCCATTGGGACAAAACACAATGGAGGGGGAGACAAAACAGGCGATTGTTTGCCTGTACTCGTTGTCTCCCCTGACACTGACCTGTAAGCTGTCCTGACTGAGTTGAGGTTTGTAGATGGCCTTACTGCTGACCTGGCCTCGCCCTGACTCGTTGTCTGACTCCGAGGTTGGATTCAGGATTCTCTCACATATCTTCTTCAGTGTGGTTCTTCCCACTCCCTGCACATCCAGCAGGCTCCCTGTCAGAAAAGGATTAGATGAACCTTTAATTTCTCGGTTAACAGTTGAAAGCATGGTTTAAAGCATGGTTGAAAACTTCCTTACCAGCCTCGGTTTTCCCTGACAGTCCTAACATGACTAAGTTCAAGACTGCAGTAAACAGATTCTTGTTGAATTCCTCCCAGAGATTTTCTACTTTTTGACAATAATGTACCATGTAATTATGTATTATGTATTATGTATTTGATAAGGGTATGTATATGTAATCAAGCGAGGGGAATTGATGTGACATATTGAAACGAAGATCATTGTTATACGATGTTAAGATCAGGTTCACTCTGCACTGATTAGAAAAAAAAAAAAAACGGATTTTTCTAGAAAAATAATGGAGCGGGCAGGCGAAAAAATTAAAAAATAAAACAGGCCTAGACATCCTATTATGGCCCAAAATGGTACGATAGGAGCCATGAAGTCAACACACCAGGCTGGTTCAAAATTGAAACAAGGAATTTTGAACTTTTAATGATGGAATAACTGTAACAACTAGGAAGAAAAGGACTGTTTTCAACTGTTCAGGGCAAAATATGAGCATTTTGCAGTTGACTCTGAATTTTTATTTTTATTTGCAAATCAGAAAAAAATGAAGCAGGCGAATCCGTTAACCAAGAAATTAAATTGGTGTGGCCAAATATAAATCACAATTTTTGACGTACTTTTATATTTGCGGTTTTTGCGGTCACTTCTGTACCGCAAATTCATCATTACAGCAAACAAATAATTCCCCAACTTTTTTTTCTTTTGCACCTGCTACCACCGTGAACATATAGTTACGCGAACATGTCCATTTTTCTCAGACCGCAAAATTTTGCTACCAGGAATATAAATTGATTTACAGTAATATGTAAGAGGAATATTGTATGCAGCTGATCAGTGAACATTGTTACTAGTTACAAGAGATACATTTGCACAGGAACAAAGCTGGAAAATTAGTTTTCATCAGGAAAGTTTATATTATTAGCCAAAAAAAGTTGGAACAAAAAGCTGTTGCGTGACATTACGTGCATCATACATGTACACCACACCATACCATTGGTGTCAACTACTTACTAGACTAGCCTTCTTCGCAGACTTGTTGGCCGGCGGCATTATTTTTTCGGTGAGCAACGCGAGTAATATGCCGCGGAGGGACGATTTTGCCGCGAAGGGAGTTTTTTCCATGGAGAGAAGGTTTCCCGCTCCAACCGCCCAACAAGTCTGCGAAGGAGGCTATTTACTAGACAGTGATTCTGCCAAATTGCATTCATCTACTAGTACTTCACAATTTCAAAAGGACTGTGTATAAGAGAGAAGGTTTTGAGATTACCGAGTGTCTGGTAGTGTCCGTTGAGCGTACGGTGAGTCACGATGGCGTCCGCTGTCAAACCTTTCGCTGCCCCCGTGTGCTGTAGCTGTTCCACTGATGCTGTGTTAAGTACCGACAGCAAAGTCTCCCTGTCTTCTGGGGAGTACGTCGCATCTAACCGAGTCCTTGATGGTTTCTTTTTTATCTCAACGTGTAAGCTTGGTGCTTGTTGTGGACTGGTCTCTGTTTCAATGTCACGGTTTGATTCTAAGTTCGTACTTGTGGCTACTTTGCTATTATCTGTTGTTGTAGAAGTGATTTCCTGGTCATGTATGTCTGAATTTGACCCGTGGTGCACCGTTTCTTGGGTCTCGTGAAGTATGAAGGTGTTGTCCTGTTTCTGAGTTGAGTAGGTCCTGCAGATACACCTGCACTGCAGCCTCAATCGTATAGGTGGCGCTGCTACACGAGGAAACAAGCCTGTGGCCTGACGCCAAGAAAAAGGTATTTGCACATTTTTAGAGGGACTGTATGTTTTAAAGATAAGGACAGCAAGACTAGATCAGTGATATGTGCCCTTGAGGTATCCATTCGTCGATCCAGTGGTTGACAGTAACGTTATATAACGTTATAAATTTATACTTGCGTTCGGATAATTTTGATTGTTTGCAAAACATTGGCATTGGCTACAAATTGCAGCGACGATCATACCAGAGAGGGACATCTGTACATTATTTACGAGGAATTATCTATCATCAAGTAGTTTGTAAATCTAAGGAAACGACAACCGGTGCAACCCAACACGTTTTACCCGGGTTGCCCCCCTCCCCAAATCATGTGCTAGTAATCGACGTGTAAAGGAAAATCAAGCATACCTGGATGCATCTCCACAGCACAGGATGGACTAAATAACGAAAACTCATCTTTTAGGAGCTACAGAATCTGTTCAATCTCTCGTAACTACAAGACGAGCCGTTACAAACGTCAAGAAGTGCAGAGTTCGTCTGTCTCGGCGACGCAACAGCCAACGAACAGATTTCGCATGCGCCGTAGCAGACGACAGCGGTGCGCCTGTGTGAAAGCGCCATCTATCGATAACTTTAACTATTGCAGCATTTCCTAATCTGGACCAGTCTTGGGGGTAACAGTGGTCAGTCTCTGTAGTATTTTTCATGTCTACACTCTTTTAATACTAATCAACCAGCGTATCAAACGTAACAATGTACTACAAGGCCAACTTTAGTAGTAAATGTTTTATTGACGTGTTAGTTAAAATGTCACAGCCTGTAGGCTGAATTGGAGTACTTAACGTTACTGGTAAAATACAGGCCATAGTTGTTAAAATACATAAACGGGGTGCCCCAAGTTCGGACGTGCCCTAAGTTCGGACGGTTTTTTTACGTACTGATCTTATTACATGTACTAGTATGCCAAAGTACGCCGTGTTTATTGCCACTAACATTCCTAGTTAAAAAGGCAAATAGTCATAGTCAAAGCATACAGGTGTTATTTGCATGCAAATTACAGTTCTACGTGTATATAGTAAGTTACTTATCGTTTTATTGAAAAACAGAATTTCGCCAATAATAATCGATGGCGCTGAGAAGAGGGTCACTTGGTTTGTTTGTTTGTTTCGCATAACCGGTAAACCGCCTTTAGGCGTAACACACCAGTTTTGTATACATGTGCGTACATGTACAAGCTGCGTAAGACCGGACTGTAAGGTTTCGAACCACTCACACCGGGAAGATCCCCTACTCTTTTCGATAAGTGAGGTGGGTTCTTTAACGTGCATGGGGTGTGGCTCTCCCAAACACGGGACCTCCATTTTACGTCCTATCCGAGGGACGTCCCTAACTGAAGCTAGGTACTCATTTACACCTGAGTGAAGTGAGGAAAGTCGTGTAAAGTGCCTTTCAGCAGGGTTCGAACCCGCGACCTCTGGGGTGTGAGCCGAACGCGCTACCGACTGCGCCACACGACCCCCTTGGTAGCGACGGCTCCTGCCCAGAAAAATATGACCTTTGCCAAGCAGTCACACAAATGCTAAATACATATGAACATAACGCTTTACAAAACAGTAGAAAATTTCGGTCTCTGAGTGTTTGTTTTGTAGAAAACCGACCCAAGAAAAACAACGCCAACGCCACTGTCGTCTGCATTTTCAACTAGAGTTCCACGATCTCATACCTTCGCCAAATGATGTTAGCCTTTATGACTAAGAAATAATAGATTAATCCCCCTGATTGTGCAAATAGGATCCTATATTGCATCAATTATATCTGCTGATCATATTCTATACCAGAAGACAGTCTTATCTTATCAATGCATGCCATTATAGCATGTCCTCATAAATTATGCAAATGAGGTCCTTATTTGAATAAGTTATGTTTAATTATGTTCACCTTCACATAACTTTCAAATATCCCAAGTATGAAATTCCAGACATTACCAATATGTAATTATAACATTTTCTCACTAATTATGCAAATTAAGTCTTCATTTGCATAATCAATATCTTCCTGTATTTCTGACGTTCTGAATTACATATGTCACAAGCTTGAATAGTCCTATCATGGAATGCAGCTGATTTATAGAATTTCCTCATTAATTATGCAAATTACATTAATATTTGCATAATTGTAATATTATTATGTCATGCATCACTTCAGCTACCTACATGCCAAAACTCAGGACGATCCATCAATCGGTTCTTGAATTATCCGCCTTTAAACAGTTTTCAACTAACACCCCTGCAGTTCCAGAGCAAGCAGCTAGGGGGCCCAAACTCACGTCACTTCTTCCCTATCACAAGAGCTACCTACCATCCAAATTTCGTCAGCCTATCATGTCTAGATCACAAGATATCAAAACCGGAAGTTCAGCTGCAGTACCATAACAAACCGCTAGGTGGCCCAAAATCTAATCAGTTCCACGTCTCATCAAGACCTACCCACCTACTAAATATCAAGACAATCCATCCAGGCGTTCTCGAGTTATCGTGCTCACACACACACACACACACACACAGACACACGAACGCCTCTGAAAACATAACCTTCTTGGCGAAGGTAATGATTCCCATATGAGACCGAGCTGATTGCGTATAATTAGTCGAATCCGTTTTCAGTCGAAACACTGACTGGCTGCGTTCGATAATCTCCAAGCAGATTCGGTGGGGCAGGGGGACTTTATATTGGCCTGTCCTGTATCCATTGGCCGCCTGTATCCAACGTTCGCCCCACGAAGTAGGGTTTAAATGTCCGGCTTTCAAAATGTGACCCCGAGTTGGACCGTTAGGAAGTCGTGGGTCACTGCGCACCGACTGCCAGGACGGAAACTCCCGCGGCGCGCGGGTGGAAAACGCAACCCGCCGTAAAACACTTCGCACCTACTTGAAAATAGCCGAAAAAGTGTCAGAGTGATTAGGTTTGAAAGGCTTGAAGCCTTCCGTTCTGTGGCAGATTCGTGGGGCGAACGTTGGATACAGGCGGCCAATGGATACAGGACAGGCCAATATAAAGTCCCCCTGCCCCACCGAATCTGCTTGGAGATTAGCGTTCGATACAACCCTCCTCATACCCACAATCGCAATTTTACCATCAAAAGAAAGCTGAAATATCATAGAATTCAGTTCTTATTTCTGTTTATAACTAAATTCTGAAGACAGCAAAACTACAAAACCATGTGAAGTTAGGGCACACTGTCTAGCGTCGGCCATTCACGGATGTACATTCACGAAAACGTCTCACAGCGTTTGTCACTTGTAACGCGGAGTGTGAACGGCTCATGAACACTATGGATGCATTTCTTATTCAAGTATGTTCTCTACACCACTACTTTCAAAATTCATTCATCAAAACCTGACCACTCTCTGACAATTAGCGATAGAGCGTATAGTTCGAGCGCGTGAAAAAAAGCGTCCGATGTTAGGACACCCACCGTGTTAAACATTAACTATCAAATATAAAATGCATTATTAGATTTCGCTATCATTATTTTTATCGGCTGAAACAGCGCTAGAGATAATGATTTTGCACATTCTGCCAAGTTACTGATATTGGCTCTCCATTTTGACTCACTGAGCAATTGGCTTGGATATTTGTTGTCGATGGAAGAGCTCCGTTTGTGTTGGTTGGATGCCAGCTAGCGCTTTTCAGTCAATGTTGACCGCACGAGAAAATGTCTCTAACCTTTACATGTATAAGTTCTGGTGTAACGTTTCCTTCAGCTTCGATGAAACATAGACTTGCTGAAGTCTTGAAGTCTTAATCGCATTAAGGAACAAATCTTCATCTCTATATGGCGATGAGGTTCAACAAATTGAATACTAGTAACCTTCGTAGTAACTAGTAACATCATAATCGTGTTAGCAAGCGGCACATAAAAAGTAAGAAACCAAGCCATGTTTTACATTCGTCCTTAAACATATATGCATCTATAGGTTATATAGGAAAGCCTCATGCGTCTGATATAAGAATAACGTGGTATATTTGATGTCTATGAAATGAGTACAAGACCGTAATAAGGAATAAAATCCGCTTCACCACTTGACACTGCATAAGGCAGTTTCTAGGGTTGTTGCTTAGTCGGCATGGATAAGGTATCCCGAGAACGTGAGATATCTGTTTCCGCTACTGTATAGAGAGTACGATCCACCTATCAGCAGAACATAAACCTCGTCCCCAGGCTGCAGCTGCAGGATGGCGCTGTTACTGCTTGACTGGGAATTAGCTTGTGAGCCATTGTGCTCGTGCAGACCAACCATTTTCTCTCCATTTTTCATTAATCGAAGGTAGTAAGTTTTACGAGCTACACTAGGTGTCATCCCGGTGAAGATGAAGAAGTAGACTCCTCCCACCTCCGTCACGAACTTCCCCGTCTCCTGGTTGTACGCCCCGCCCACGTTGGTAAGGACGACGTCATACGTCACTACCGTATCCTGACTGGACTTTTCGAGTCTGGACGTTCTCGCCACGGAAAACGCCACGACAGGTGGAGCAGGTGGGCTGGTACCGGGTGCCCCCCTCTCACCTGCCGGGCCCTGCTCACCTTTGTCTCCCTTGTCACCTCTCGGTCCGGCCGGTCCCAGCTTACCTGGCGCGCCTCTGGGAGCGTTCCCACCTTGCTCACCTTTCGGTCCTGTCAGGGAAGGTGTGCAACATTGCTGTTCGTTCTTTGCTCCCGATTAAGGCCACACGGACTTAATTTTATAGATGACATACGCGCACATTGATTATCACAAAAAAAAGCACTGCCTCCAAGGCTCTTGCCTGAGTGCCATTCTTCGTAGTCCATTGTAGCTAGTGACAATAGGGAGCCGGCGGTAACTACGGAGGATGGCACCCAGCAGGCTCCACGGAACTCAAGAACTCAGTAAAGTGCCGACTTATAAATGTTGCAAAAGGTCAGCATGTGCCGGCTTTTGATAAAAGTCGCTATGTGCTACCGAAATTTCACAATCCTAGCTTTGTATTCCTGTGGTTTAGCAGCAATTTTTCTGGCTGGAATATGCTTGGACGCACTAGTTTGGAGGTCTTAAGAGGATGCCATCCATAGAATTAAGTCAGTGTGCCCTAATATAAGTGAGATACATTTTCTACGCAGCAAAACTTGCTTGCAGCTATCAGAGTAAGGAGAACAACTAGCACACACAAGGAACGATTCACTCATTGTGCTCTTTAAATGGTTGTTCTAGCGTTGTTAGGAATCGAGAAATGCCTGATGAAAGCATTGCAAATTGATTTCTCAAACGTTTGACAGAAATACATGTATAACATAGTTTCTGAACGATAAACATATACTTCCAGATGTATCTATCGGCGTTTCCTCTCAGTTTTTACTAGCTGTAGCCTGGACGCCATCCTCCGTAGTTTCCCCCGGCTCCCTAATGTCGCTGGGTACCAGGAACGTTAGCCATGGTAACCAGCGACATTAGGGAGCCAGCGTTAACTAAGGAGGATGGCGCCCAGGTTACACTAGCTGTGTGCATTCCCTACCTTGCGGCCCCTCAGTCCCCGGCTCGCCCTTGGCGCCAGGCGCCGCCACCACGGTGATGTTCTGACTGTTGTTGAGCTGCCGGGAGCAGACGCCATCCTGGTCCGTCTCCAGGGCCGAGAAGGCGCGCAGGACGAGCAGAAGGGAAACCAGCACAGCGATCTTCATCATGAATTAGCCGTGGCTGACTGTGCAAGTGGTGCGCGGGGGTGGAAAAACTTCGCCTTTTAAGTCGGCTTGTTTTCGTCTCAAAAAAATTGGCAAATCGAAGTTCCGAAGACGGACAGAAAACAGTGTGTAAGGGATGGAGCAGGAGATATAGTGCATGTTGGAGTAGAGGTTTTGATAAAATGTGTTGATCGGAAATATAGTTTTGATCTAGGTATCGTAAATATACATGGTGTTCGCGCAGGCTTTGACCCTCTTTTTGTTGTAAAAATTTCATTTATCTTATTCTACGGGATTCACAAAAAGAAATCAGTTAAACCTTCAACACAACCGCACACAACGATGGTCGTCCCCTTGAAGAACTGAGGCTTCGTTGACATGAAGTAAGCCTCACCGGAAAGCAATTAAACGCTGCTTACAGGAGCGTAGTACATTAATTAGTTCGAATTCTGCTGTATCAACATTTTGTTACATAACTGCGAAAATGGAAGACTTGGCAAACGTTGTATTTGTTATACAGTATCTCGTTGATTGATATAAAACACAACTGGATAACTGAAAATATTTTGGTCACATTTGAGAGTCGTTAAGGAAGACGCATATAAACATAGCTGTCTGAAATATTGCTGAACAAGTATTGTTACAGATGTAGAAGCGTCATTTCCCCCTATTTGTTTTTTTTACTCCTTTTAGATTTGATGAAAGATCTGGTACAACATACATCCTAAAACGAGTTGCCAGTGAGCTACTGGGCCAACCGCCTAACGTGGGGTGTGTGGCGTAGCGGCAGAGTGCTCGACTCGGAACCTAGAGGTCCCGGGTTCGAGTCCTGACATGCCACCGACCTTGTGCCCTTGGGAAAGGCACTTTACACAACTTTCCTCACTTCGCTCAGGTGAAAATGAGTATTGTATTTGTCCCCTGTGTTGGTGGCGGCATTAAGATAAGTTTAAAAAAAAAACTTGAGTGTGCCGTCACCACGTCTTGTGATTACATGTTGGAAATTAAAAAAAAAACGCCTAACGTTTGACAAAATTCACGAAGTGCCAAAGTTTTGCGTCTTCGACCCTGTCTTTAATTTCATTTCATTTGTATCCTTTCATCATGACTTATTCTTTCAGTATTTCCTTTACTCTAGATACCAAAGCAAACAAAGCATAGGCATGCTGTAAGTATTTGATGGAATCTAAACTTCTGTAGAGGTCCGGCCACTTTGCCTGTTCGGTTGTTTGTTCTGACTTAAAGTCATTTCTGCAGTACTTTCATCTCATTTGCAGTTGACAGAAACGTTACATCCTTGGAACTAGTGCAGGGCATCTCGACTATTGAATAACTTCTTGACTGTATGTTCGCACAAAAGGACAAAGTCTGACCGTAGCCTACGAAGTTTGTAATATGTAGAACGTTCAGTTTAATGCATATGTACAGATACCAGCAATGGCATTATGACATATTTCGTCACCATATACGACAGATATTGTGTACAGTTATCTATTGAATGAAGTTTTTTTTTTTTAATTTTTACCTTAGCCTTGCGGTGATATTACTCCTTTTCTCTTGTTTGATTCACACAAATGTTTCAAAGGACATACTACGAATAACGGTGGCCAAATGCTATGCAAGTTACAGTCAACTGTACTTTAGAAAATCAACCGTGTACATGTCTTTTGGCTTTTGTGCTAGTCTGGATGGATAAGGAACCCTGAGAACGAGACGTAACCGCCCGGGTCGCTCCACATGGACGACTTTCCGTCCAACTCTACCCACACCTCGTCCCCAGGCTGCAGCCGCAAGATGGCGCTGTTGCAACTGGAGAGGTGGTCGCCGTAGGACCTGTCGTACAGGCTGACTATCTCCTCGCCGTTCTTCTTCAGCCGGCTCCAGTAGGCGGACCCGGCCACGCTGGTGGTCATCCCCGTGTAGGTCAACATGTAGAAGCCGCTCACCATTGGCGAGAACTTCCCGCTCGTCCGGTTGTAGGCGTCGCCCTCGTTGGTGTGGACGATGTCGAATGTAACGATGGTGTTCTCGGGGGCGTTCAGGATCCGGACTCTCAGAGTGGCGGAGAACGCCACGAAACTGGAACCAGACAGGGTGTTACAGCTGGATCCTCCCGTACAGGGCCTCCCCGGGTGACCTCTCCCCCCCTTCGCACCTGCCTCGCCCGCCTCGCCTTTCTGTCCCCTCGCACCTGGAGGTCCTGTAGCACCTGGCTCACCTTTCTTACCTCGGGCACCTCTCGTACCTTTCTCACCTGCGGGGCCCGGCCGAGGCTTGCCTCTGTCCGCCTGGTGATGCATACCCCATCGCCCTGGAAGGAACATTAGATGGTTGAGTTTATTATGGGAACATGTGCCTTATTATGTTTACCGAAGGAAAACAAACTGTTTTTGCTACGTTTCTTCTTCTTCTTCTTCTTCCGTTCCAAACACTCACCTCTGACCTGGCCAATGACCTGATTTGTTCGTCTCTCACCATGGTAACTTGTGTTGGGTTACATAATGTTGCAATTTTATAGTAGGAGGGATTTATACTCCTGTCTGACCACATATATGAATGTATTTGAGTAAGAATTAACAGCAGATCATATGCGAAGGTAATTGGACTTGCAAATGTTACCTTTCTAGTTCATTTGTTTGTTTAAGTTCCTTCACGTACGTATGGTGTGCATAGGTCGGACCCATCTCCGTTTCTGTAGCCCTAATTAGGCCACAGGCCTGCCACATACTTCTTTGCAATCACTTCAGCGAGTAGGGGGCTAGTTTACTGGTAGTGGTGTGCGTTCCACTGGTAGTACTCTTTCTCATATATTAAGTGCCAAGCAGAGAAAGCAGTATCATACCTTTCTAAAGGTTTGACTCGGCCTGGATCGAACTTACGACCCACAACTTACGAGCCATTGCACCGGTTAGGGCATCAGAAAGATGCAAATGGTTTCGGAAATAAAGACTGTTCTTTTGATATTGAGATACATTGTGCTTCTACATATCTGTATGCTTTCCCATTAGAAGAGAATGCAAGACTAAGATATCTTTTCACGTTATCAATTAGCTGAGGAATGATATTACAAGAAACCATGTCCCTTGTGTCAAACCCATTTCATTGTATTTGTCGGAATGCACTAAAAACATATAAAAAAGGGACAATGTGAGCTAAGGTTGGTAAAGACACGTGTATATGGGCGATAATGACTGAAGACTTGTGACAGAGTCTTGTATATCTATTATACACAACACCGGACAAAAACGGAAAGTTTCGCGTACATCAGTATTGCAAAATGTTAGCTCAAACTCAAAGTAAAGATATACCACCTCTGTGACATGTACTTAAGCTTACTTAGGGGTTACTCTGATCACCAGAAACGTGTCTGTACAAACAAGGATGGCAAGTCGCCTTGAATCAGTCAATCACAGGGATCGACACTGACACTGTAACTTAACTCTTCAACCCCTACCCAGAAGGGGTCGTGTGGCAGCGTGTTCGACTCGGAACCAAGAGGTCACGGGATCGAGTCCTGACATGCCACCGACCTTGTGCCCTTGGGAAAAGGCACTTTACACGACTTTCCTGAGTATTGTCTTGTCTTGTATCAGTCCTCTGCGTTGGTGGCGGCATAAAATAAGTTGATATAAGTTGAGTGTGCTGTCACCATGTCTAGTCGTGAAATGTTGGAATATAAAAAAAAAGCCCTACACACCCCCCCTGACTGTCTTGACTTGACTTTATTGGGATCTTCATAAGTCAGTAAGGCCATGTTGATTTGATCATATGGATGACATCCACGCGCGCATGAAGTTTCGGCCGTTTCCAAAAAAAAAGTTGCAAAATGAGCAAATATACACCGTAAGTTGTAAAAAAATATTTGAAAACGACACCAATGTCGTAGAATGTCAAAATCAAACAAAAAAGACGAAAATGTTAAGAAATGAATTTGAAGAGTAGATTATTCGCCAAACCATACTCATCTGTCATTTGTTCAACCTTCAAAACCACGTAGATTTCATAATGAAAGCAACTTTTTTTTTTGCCAAACAACTTTTTTTTATTCGCACGCTCGCATCAGTTTTGGGGTTCCCAGAGGATGTCATCCATATAATCAAATCAACATGGCCTAATGAGAACTTTGATGAGGCTGGAGCCAAACTGTCCATGTCAAGTTCAGAGGTCGAACTTCTAAAATACTCCCAAACGATGTCCACGTGTAACGGCCGACAGTGACCTGACTGGCTGACTGACTGACTGACTGAAACGGCCTCTCTTGAATTTACGGTGATAAGGTTGACCAAATACCATAAAGAGTAAGGCCACAACAAGTAAATTTTATGGATGACATCCTCCACAGACTGCAAATCTAATACGTTCGAATAATTGTGGGGTCGTGTGGCGTAGCGGCAGAGTGCGCGACTCGGAACTTTGAGTCCCGGGTTCGAGTCCTGACATGCCACCGATCTTGTGCCCTTGGGAAAGGCACTTTACACGGCTTTCCGCACTTAGCTCAGGTGTAAATGAGTATTGTCCCGTCATGTATTTGTCCCCTGTGTTGGTGGCGGCATTAATATAAGTTGAAAAAAAACTTGAGTGTGTCGTCACCACGTCTGGTGATTACATGTTGGAATAAAAAATAAAAAAAAATCTAATACGAGCGGGCGAAAAAAAAACAAGGCGGGCCGAAAAAGAACAAGGTTCCTACCTTGAAAATTTTTACTCAATCATGGTACAAATGACTTTGATTCAGTGGGAACATCACATACACACAGCCAGCATCACATATCACTGCATCAAGGTAAGATACAAAACATTAAATCAGAGCCTTTTCTTGTCTCCTCTTCTCATAGTAATCTGCCATCCTCCAACAACAGAAATATTTGCCCATTTTCGGCATGTTGACCACTGTCAAAAAGCAAAAAAAAAAAAAATTTTCCCAAAATTAGGCGAAAATTAATGCGCGCGTGGTGTCATCCATAAAAATTACTTATGAAGAGTAAATATGAGAAATATTAATACTTATGAAGAGTAAATATGAGAAATGGGAATGGAATTCCACGTGTAAAATGGTGCCACGAGTAGGAAGATTAAAAAATCACGAAGTTGTCAAAGATGATTATGGATTTACTACTTCAGGTCAGGGGCGGTTCTCAGTAGGTCATGTCAGCCGATAGAGCAGACCTTCCTAACGTTGAACAGGTCTCTAGCGATATTTTAGTTAAAATAAAACCAGGAGAAGGTTAAAATAGGTTTCCCAGCCGTGTCTTTGCTTTATTAACCTAGTAATTGTAAAGGCTACATCCTGACTACTAAGCCTGCCATCGTTGTATTTCTAGAGAGGCTTCTTATGTAAACATTAGGTCGGATGATTATTATTACCTTCGCAAAGAAGGTTATGTTTTCAGTAGCGTTTGTCCGTCTGTCTGTTTGTCCGTCTGTGAACAGCATAACTAAAGAAGCTTAATATGCGAAATAAAGACTAAACTTTAACTTCCAACACTTAGATAAGAATTGGGACTTACCCCATATTTTCGGTTGACTCCATCAACCTAAGCTTAATATGCATTGTCATGAAACTGGGTAGGTGAGACCTAGAAATGATTAGATTCTGGGCCCCCTGGCGGCTTTTCTAGGTACTGCAGCAGAACTCTTGTTGCTGTATATTCTACTTATGCTTCAGCCGCGTCAAAACACGGAAACGAAACAAAACATACATGCATATACCCCCATCATATCAGCTGATCCTTGTTTGTTTGTTTGTTTGTTTGTTTGTTTGTTTGTTTGTTTGTTTCGCATAACCGGTAAACCGCTTTTAGGCTGTGAGTACAAGCTGCGTAAGACCGGACTGTAATGTTGAACCACTCACACCGGGAAGGTCCCCTACTCATTTCGATAAGTGTGGTGGGTTCTTTAACGTGCGTGGGGTGTGGCTCTAACCAAACACGGGACCTCCATTTAACGTCCTATCCGAGGGACGTCCTTAACCGAAGCTAGGTACTCATTCCCTCCTGAGTGAGGCGAGGAAATTCGTGTTAAGTGCCTTTCCTCAGGGCACAAGATCGGTGACATAGTAGGATTCGAACCCGGGACCTCTTGGTACCGAGCCGAACACGTTTACGCCACACGACCCCACTATGTGCCACACGACCCCGCTATAGAATCTATGCAAAAATGAACTCCCGAAGCTATATCCTAGTAATTTTTTGGACACTTTTTATTGCCCAAAAATCAGAGTGGCAACATGCGTCAACCTTCTTGCCAAGTTTCTATTTTAACTACATCATGCTTTGCGCCAGTGACGTTTTAGAAAGTAACACTAGCTTGAGTTGACAGCATTCTGATCTAGCTTTCAATAAAGTAGCAGCTTAATGGTTATTTTTACTTGGGCTAACTCAAGGTGACGGGCAAAGTGGGTACGGAATGGGACATATGCATTAAAAGTTTAAGGATGCCAGCAGGGCAAGTGTAGTAGCGCGAAACTCTGCCAGTAACAGTCACAGATGCTGTAGGTAGTAATAAATTTCGTTTGGCACTGATTGACTTTATTACCTTTGCCAAGAATTGACGAAGGTTATGTTTTCCTGGCCGTGTGTCTGTGTGTGTGTCTGTCTGTGTGTCTGTGTGTCTGTCTGTCAACAGCATAACTCGAGAAAGCTTAGATGGTTTATCTTGATATTTGGTAGGTGGGTAGGTCTTCATGAGACGTGGAACTGATTAGATTTTGGGCCCCCTAGCGGCTTGTTATGATACTGCAGCTGAACTTCCGGTTTTGATATCTCGTGACCTGGACATGCTAGGGTCATGAAATTTAGATGGTAGATAGCTCTTGGGCTGGGAATGAAGTGACCCTAGCTGCTTGCTCTGGAACTGCAGGGGCGTTAGTTGAAAAATGTTTAAAGGCGGATAACTCAAGAACCGATTGATGGATCGTCGTGTTTGGCCGCGTAGGTAGCTGAAGTGTTGCTTGACATAATGATATTACAATTATGTAAATATTAATGTAATTTGCATAATTAATGAGGAACTTCTATTCTCTAGTTACTGACTTGGACGATCTTTCAGATAATATTCTGGTACCTTTACTTTTAAGAGGTTCTTCTTTTCTGTCAACAATATACAATACTCAAAATACTACTACATGTACAGACATTTTTGTTAGAATCAAATCGTTTTTTTGTAATAACTTGATCAATCCTATCAGTATTCATATATTTGTTTCACTTATTGAATGATTAATTATTGTATTCAACTTCTATATAAAAACTCGTGCTTCGCTTGCTTGTATTACGTATTGTCTGGTGACGACATGAATATAAGTGTAACTTGAGTGTGTCGCCACCACGTCTTGTCACTGTATGTATGTTTCAATAAAAAAAATAGGTTTCGTTCTCATTGCTGAAAATACATGCTTTATCGAATGGATCAACATTTGAAGTGTCCCGTAACAAGTCTGAATTGCTACAAAGGGAGCTTAAAATTCTACGGCCCCCAACCGTGGAATAATCTGTCACTGATCATTGCAACGTAAGACTTTGGCGCTGGTAAAATTCATTCAGGAATTGTGGTGTTACTGATAACATAACAACAGGGTCCATAATATCACCACCTTGAGAAACAGTGTGCTTCAAGATATTTTCACTGCAACATACTTTTGGTATGCACTCCTTCACACATCAAATGTACATACCTAGGGTATGTTGCAGTAAAAATATCTTTAAGCACACTTTTTCTCAAGGTGGCGATATTATGGACCCTGGTGATATTATGGACACAGATGTTAGTACGGATAGGTGAAACTGTGTGATTTTTTTGTTGTTATGTCATTCTGTATATCGTATGTATAGTCTGTTATTCGTGCTTTGTATACGCAGCATAGCTGGTTTCTATGTACCTGAGTATAAACTGAAAACTGAAACTGTATCTGTATCGGTATAGCTGGTATAACCGCCCTTCGGCGTAACACACCAGCTTCGCAGGCACGCGGCGCGGCGGCAGCTAGCTATATCACACCGAACGACTTGTTACACTCAATCTTTGCACATTTAATTGCAGGAGTTGTTTAAAGCTTTCTGGTGATGATGCCCCAACTGTGGTTGGTGGCAACGAGTTCCAGTCTACGATAGTTCTGGGGAAATACGAGTTTTTGAATACCTCAATTCTTGGTTGATAACTCTGATAATTGAAGGTATGACTGAATACTAGTATTACTAAGATACCGTACTCACCCCTGAGGCCTCTCGGTCCCATGGCCCCTTTAGGTCCGGGCGGCCCGGCAGGAGCCAACACGGTGATGTTGGTACACGGCGTGGAACAGGAGTCTTCCTCAGCCGCTTTACACAAACATAAACACAAACAACACAGGAAAACAAAACAACCTGCCGCGCAGGTAACAAATCGAGATATTGGCAAGCTATCCCCCATGTTCTAGGCAGTTCTCCGGTTGAAGAATCTTTTAAAAAAAGAGAGAGATCTGGTTGCTAAGAAGGCCAAATGTGCGCTCAGGGTCACTAAAGGACTTAGCGGTAACCTGCTATGCTCTGCCCTTCGCCCTAGAAACATAGTTATGTGTCTGCTTGCGGTTTTTGATGTGCTGTGTGTCCTGTACAGTTAGTATGTTTAGTTATAGATACATATATAGGTCGTGCAACGATTTAGTCCCTTTTTATGGTACTACAATATACGAGAAGTGGTGTAAGCCTTAGCTACTGTAAATTTTTAGGTGCACTTGAAGTTGTGATAACAATGTGGAAGTCCCGAGCCAGTAAGATAACAATCCGTGTGTACATGTGGTCTTGCTGTAATGGTGTCCAGCTGTTCTGCTGACCGCAGGTCTTGGAAGGTTAAAGACAAGGTCACACGCGTTCTTATACTGAAGGTGAAACACCAAATTGCTTGTTGCTACAAAGCAGGTATGAATGCATTCGAAAACCGTCATGTTACTTTGTTAGCCTGGGTGCCATCCGATTTAATTGTTGTAACGGCAACCACGAAAAATCGTTACAAATCGGATGGCATCCAGGCTATTACTTTGTACCCTATGAAAGTACAGGTCAATCAAATGCAAAACGGGATTTGATTTTTGTATCATCATCAGCGATCACTTTCTGTGATACAAATACATGTAATATTCATATGGAAAATGATTATCACCAAATCTTAACACAAGTCCAAAATTGCATCCATGGCGAAACTATATTTCCCCCAAGATGAAGTTCCGGTTGTTCAATACGTGTACAACAGGGATAAGGCCATGTTGATTTAATTATATGGATAACATCGACGGAAACCCCAAAACTGATGCGAGCGTGCGAATAATAAAAAAAAGTTTTGCAAAAAAAAGTTGCGTTCATTCTGAAATCTACGTGGTCATGAAGGTTGAAAAAATGACACAGAGTATGATATGGCGAATAATCTACTCTTCAAATTCATTTCTTTACATTATGCGGTCTTCTTCGTTTCATTTTGGCATTCTACGACAGTGGTATCGTTTTCAAATATTTATTTTTCAACTTACGGTATATATATTTGCTCATGTTGCAACTGTTTTTGTACGATTTACAGTGTGGTTGAAACCTTTTTTTTTTTGGAAACGGCCGAAAATTCATGCGCGCGTGGATGTCATCCATATAATCAAATCAACATGGCCTAACAGAGGAACGTGGACCGCATTCGTGTGGTGGTGTAGTGTGTGTTTGTTAACGATCTTCTTCTGAGGATTCTGACCAACGTGGTACGTGTTCCACATCTGGTGCATAAATCTTCGGGTTTTAGGGATCGACGTGGCTACAAGACACGGCCTTGAGCTTCTTAGATAGGTGTCATCTATCTTTAGAAGTCTGCGGTATTTTATAAAGAGAAGCAGGTGGACAAAACTGTCATTGGCATCTGTGACAAACGTCTTAAAACGTATCGTTAAATTTAAATTTCACTGCTTTGCTGTGAAATCTTCATTGAGCTAGTGTTAAAAGAAAATAATTTGGAAGGTTTCCTATTAAATTTTTTTTATATGCCAACATTTCATGACTAGACATGGTGACAGCACACTCAAGTTATATCAACTTGTTTTATGCCGCCACCAACGCAGAGGACGAATACAGGACAAGACAATACTCAGGAAAGTCGTGTAAAGTATTCAATTTTCGCGATTTAGTGTGATTTTTCTTTATTTTCGTCGCCGAAAGATACTCTTGGACGCAACCAAAAAGAGCTTACCACAGGGTATTGGCCGAAATATCTTTATTTGAGGGTAGGGGTTCCGAGGAAGTAGCGGTCGCATGTGATCAGTTTCAGGAAAAGACATATATAGTTGAGAGCAACACGAAGGTATAGGAATCCGCTATTTTATTAATTTTAAGTTTTCATAGTGCATTATTTGTCACCAGAAAGATGGAAAAGTTACGAGCACAATAATGACGGTAGGATTAAACCCAATGTCACAGCGATAGTCATCATATACTAGTATATGACACACTGACGAGAGATGCTAGTGAAGCTTTCTATATAGAACTATCCAGGGGGCAAGCAAGGTTTATTGTTACAAACACATCACTGATGATACTGGGATGTCCCCATGCTGTGAACAACAGGCTACCACAAACCGCTCATATTGGTTTATTTGAAGAAAGAAGTAGGACATTCTGTATCTGTATCTGTATTCATAAAGCCGGTATAACCAACCTTTGGCGTAACACACCAGCTTCTGTATCTGTATAGCCGGTATAACCGCCCTTCGGCGTAACACACCAGCTTCTGTATCTGTATAGCCGGTATAACCGCCCTTCGGCGTAACACACCAGTTTCTGTATCTGTATAGTCGGTATAACCACCCTTCGGCGCAACACACCAGCTTCTGTATCTGTATAGCCAGTGTAACCGCCCTTCGGCGTAACACACCAGCTTCGCAGGCACGCGGCGCTGGTGCTATATCACACCGAACGACTTGTTACACTCAATCTTTGCACATTAATTGCAGGAGATGTTTAAAGCTTTCTAGTGATGACGCCCCTTCTGTGCTTGGTGGCAACGAGTTCCAGTCTACGATAGTTCTGGGGAAAATACGAGTTTTTGAAACACCTCAATTCGCAGTCAGATTCGTGGCAGGCGGTTTCGCCAGAGAGTTTTGCGCTCCTCATGTGGTCTTCAAGAATCTTCGGAGTACTAAGACTTTAGCCGTCCTTGAACTCCTGCCAAGTTCATGTTACACGTCTCATTACCTGCCTTCCGACCGCCTGCCGACGTCGTCTGTCCAAATATACTCCTTAAGGCCACAGCAAGTCATTTTTATGGATGACATCAGCGCGCGCATTAATTTTCGCCTGTATTTGAAAAAAAAAACAAAGAAGAAATTTTGTTATCATGAAAGTTCATCTGTGTTGGTAGTTACATGTTTAAAGTTAAAACTTTTGGTCCAACACAAAGAATTCTCTCACCTAGAGCTTTCAACCAATCACTCTGGTCTTCTTCAGCTTCACTGGGTCAGTCTACTGAGGAAGACCAGAGTGACTGGTCCAAAGCTCTAGGCGAGAGAATTCTTTGTGTTGGATCAAAAGTTTTAACTTTAAACAAGAAATTTTGTTGCCTTCTGACAGTGGTCAACATGCCGAAAATGGGCAAATATGTCTGTTGCCATGCCAGAAGGTGGATGGCAGATAACTATGAAGAGAGGAGACAAGAAAAGGCTCTGATTTAATGTTTTGTTTCTTACTTTGATGCAGTGATATGTGATGCTGGCTGTGTATATGTGATGTCCTACTGAATCAAAACCATTTGTACAATGATTGAGTCAAAATTCTAAAATTTAGAAACCTTTTTTTTTCGGCCCGCCTTGTTTTTTGTCGGCCGCTCGTATTAGATTTCGAATCTGCGGAAGATGTCATCCATAAAATGTACTTGCTGTGGCCTTATACTTCTTGGAGGTGCCGAAATGACTTCGTGTGCGGCTGCACTATATTATATGACTGTGTCACTTGTAACGCTGCCAAGATACCGTTGGCATTGCTTCCCAACACACCGGATGTACTGATTCTATTTGTCTAAGGTGAAGAGAGAGAGAGAGAGCGAGAGAGCGAGAGAGAGAGAGCGAGAGAGAGAGAGCGAGAGAGAGAGCGAGAGAGAGAGCGAGAGCGAGAGAGAGATGTTTTTATCGGCGTTGATACAAAACATGTCCTAATCAAGTCAAGTGTGGTTGTCAGTGAAAACATTTACCTCTCAAACACATAATAACGACATTTATGGGCATGTCCTCGTAACACTGGAACACATAAAGTAGCCTGTATCTTCTCAGTCTAATTTAGAGTTTTGGTCATCGTGTGACTTAGGCCACAGGAAGTAAATTTTATGGATGACATCCTCCGCAGACTCCAAATCTAATGTGAGCGGGCGAAAAAAACAAGGTTCCTACAAATGGTTTTGATTCAGTGGGAACATCACACATACAGCCAACACCACATATCACTGCATCAAAGTAAGAAACGAAACATTAAATCAGAGCCTTTTCTTGTCTGTTCTCTGCCGTCCACCTTCCGGCATGGCAACAGACATCGTTGCCCATTTTCGGCATGGTCACCACTGTCAGAAGACAACAAAATTTCTCTTTTTTTTTCAAAATCAGGCGAAACTTAATGCGAGCGCTTATGTCATCCATACAAATTACTTGCTGTGGCCTTAGATGTGTATGGCGATTTTCGTTCAAGGATGCTATTTTTAAGCCTGTATAAGATTTGTGACTAAATATTAGGTTTACTGTACTTGTACAAAGCCTAAAATCCTATTTTATCGTTATACATGGTGTATGAGGTACCCTGAGAACGTGACGTAACCCGTGTAGTCTCCCCACATGGAGGACCGCGCGTCCAGCTCCACCCAAACCTCGTCCCCAGGCTTCAGTAACAAGATGGCGCTGTTACTGCTGGAGAGGTGTTCTCCTAGAGACTTGTCGTACAGGCTGATGACCGGTTTTCCGTTCTTCTTCAGCCGGCTCCAGTAGGCGGACCCCTTCACGCTGGTGGTCATGCCGGTGAACGTGAACATGTAGTACCCCGGGACGGACGGCGCGAACTTGCCGGTGATCTCGTCGTAAGCGTTCCCGGCGTTCGTGATGACGGAGTTGTAGGTGACGATCGTGTTTTCGGGCACGTTGAGGACGCGGTTCGCCAGGACGGCGGAGAACGCCACGAACGGCGGGTCTGCCGGCTGCGCCGCCGGGGAACCAGGAGCGCAAGTCGACCGGCAGGGCCAGCCCGACTCGCCTTTCATTCCCTTCTGTCCCTGGTTACCTGGCTGTCCATTTGCACCTGTTCCACCTGGATCGCCCTTTCGGCCTGGCGCACCTGGTACACCTGTTCGACCAGGTCGGCCTGGGTAACCGGGTACACCTTGTTTACCACGCGGCCCCCTGTCGCCCTTCTCTCCGGGGACACCTCCGGACCCGGGCGGTCCCTGTACGATGTTGGACGAGCCAGTGGCACCTGATGGACCCGGTACACCTGGCGCACCCTTCTCTCCCTTCTGTCCAGGTGAGCCCACACCTGGCGGGCCCTGCGCACCTGCCTGTCCCTTCTCACCGACTTGCCCCCGGTCACCTTTGGGTCCTTTCGCGCCAGGGATCCCCTGAAGACCCATCCACCCTCGTGCCCCTTTCTCGCCTGGTGGGCCCTCTACTCCAGGAAAACCCCTCAAACCTGTTTCTCCTGGCTCGCCCTTGAGCCCAACGTGACTGGGCAGGCCAGGCGTACCCGGCGGCCCTTGCTCTCCCTTGTTACCGGGCCGTCCCGTCACACTTGGCTCGCCCGGAGCGCATGAAATGTCGGTCGGTAACATCGTACCGTCATACCCTCCTCCTCTCCCCCGGTACGGCTCACACAGTCCCGGTTCACCTGGAACAACCAAACGATAACTTTTACCAGATAAAACAGCATTCTGTCTCTTGTATCTTATAGACGAAGTGGGTAAGGCCACAGCAAGTAAATTTGTAAGAAACACAACATTAAATCAGAGCCTTTTTGTGTCTCCTCTCTTCATATTTATCTGCTACCCACATTCCGCCCTGGCAACAGACATCTTTGCCCATTTTCGGCATGTTGAACACTGTCAAAAGGCAACAATTTCTTGTTTTTTTTTTCTTCCAAAATCAGGTGAAAATTAATGCGCACGCTGATGTCATGTATAAAAAATAGTTGCTGTGGCCTAAATTCGTCTCCCACTGCCTCAAAAGAAGAAGTCAAACCCAACTAAACTAGTAATATAACTTTGTACATAGTCTGTCATATCATTGTATTTTCTTTTTCATACATGTTGTTTGTATCTGCGCAATTAGCCCTCGGGCATGCAATGAAATTTATCTCGTTTTTCTGTGTGCGATATGCCCTACTCTTATAAGGCCACAGCAAGTAATTTTTATGGATGACATCAGCGCGCGCATTAATTTTCGCCTGATTTGGAAAAAAAAAAGAAATATTGTTGCCTTCTGACAGTGGTCAACATGCCGAAAATGGGCAAAGATGTTTGTTGCCATGCCGGAAGGTGGATGGCAGATAACTATAAAGGGAGGAGACAAGAAAAGGCTCTGATTTAATGTTTTGTTTCTTACTTAGGCCATTTTGATTTGATTATATGGATGACATCCTCCGGGAGCCCCAAAACTGATGCGCGCGTGCGAATAAAAAAAAGTTTTGCAAAAAAAAAAGTTCTTTTCATTATGAAATCTACGTGGTCATGAGGGTTGAGCAAATGGCACAGAATATGCTTTGGCGAATAATCTAGTCTTCAAGTTCATTTCTTTACAATTTCGTCTTTTTTCCTTTGATTTTGGCATTCTACGACATTGGTATAGTTTTTATTAATTTTTTTGTAACTTATGGTATATTTTTGCTCATTTTGCAACTGTTTTGTACGATTTACAGAATGGTTGAAAACTTTTTTTTTTGGAAACGGCCGAAAATTCATGCGCGCGCGGATGTCATCCATATAATCAAATCAACATGGCCTTAGATGCAGTGATATGTGATGCTATATGTGTATATGTGATGTTCCCTGAATCAAAAACATTGAATTAAAAACAATGATTGAGTCAAAATTTCAAAATGTAGGAACCTTGTTTTTTTCGCCTTGTTTTTTTCGGCCCGCCTTGTTTTTTTACTCCGCTCGCAATAGATATTTGGAGTCTGAGGAGGATGTCATCCATAAAATTTACTTGCTGTGACCTAAAAGGGAAATGCTTCTGGATATCTGAATTTTACATGTCTTTTCTCCAAGTTAAGCGTGCCAGAAGGTGTGCCAAGTGTTAGTACCCTGGGTCGGAGCCAGGTAGGCATCCTTCGTGGTCATAAAGATTACTGTGGTGTGCATTTCCGGATCCGGTATTTTCCTATAGTGATTATGGCTATTGTTTTCCTTGTGTTTCTCCTTCTTTCCCTGCCATATCGTAAAATGTGGTGAAGCCATCTGCTACATTTGCCCCAAAGCAAATGTCGGCCTTTCTAGTTTTTATTAGGACCTGATGCACTAATACTAGCAAATGTCAATGGTAATCTTCAACGCTAAATTGATGAAAAACATCCCGCTGATACAGTAAAACACACAAGTGATTTTGGCTTGGAGAATCTAACCCTCTATTAAAATGAAAAAGAAAAACTAGAGAAGGAACATTTGCAAAGCAAATGCATAATGTTTACCTTCGGACATGGTCTGCCACGTTAATTTTTACTCAAACACATTCACATACATGCACTACGAGTATATGGTGACAGGAGTAGAGCAGACCATGAAATTGCAACATTATGTAACCCAACACCAGTTACCACGGTGGCAGACGTCAACAAATCAGGCCATTGGCCAGGTCAGAGGTTAGTGTTTGGAACAGAATAGGAGGAAGAAACTGAGTAAAAACAATATGTTTTCCTTCGGTAAACATAAAAAATGGCTAAAATGTGCTTGCCTCGGCATTTGCTAATTTACTAAAGATGCTCTGAGTTCGAAGGATATCAAGGCACAACCCTTCTTCTGTCCTTTTCCAACTAATCGAAACTTGACACATCGAAATAGCTAAAGTTAACGTTTGGGTATTATCCGAATAGTTTTTAACTTACAGGTATTTCTACTTGAATAAGGGGAATTGAATAGAAATACCTTTAAGTTAAAAACTGGTATGATACAAACGGGATAGGTACTTGAAAGTGACGAGTTAACTTTGGCAACGACTATGCAATGACAAGCCTAGGGTTCCCGTACTCTCCAAGCAGAGGTTGATGGTGGAAAATCGTTTGGTTTTTATATATAGTCCGTTTTTTGTCGCTACCACCACCAACCTGTGCCGGCAGTCAAAGCCTCAAAGGCTATTAACAGCTAATCGTTACTCTATCAAACTTGGTGGTGGTAGAGACAAAAAAACGGACCATATATAAAAAGCAAACGATCTTCCACTATCAACCTCTGCTTGGAGAGTAGGGTTCCCGACGCCAAACACGTTGATTGTAAATAGTGAATTGTGTAAAGTTTGCCTTGTACTGTTAATTTTGTAATGTTTTTGTACGTTTGCAATACATGTATGTAAATATGAATGTGTAGACCACAGGAAGAATAGCCTCTTATGAGGCTAATTGTGGATCTGAATAAAACTCAAACACGTGCATGCCTTTGTCAGCAACGCCGAAAATTGAAGTCGTGAAATATTAGCGGACACTCACCCCTGAGGCCTCTCGGTCCCATGGCCCCTTTAGGTCCGGGCGGCCCGGCAGGAGCCAACACGGTGATGTTGGTACACGGCGTGGAACAGGAGTCTTCCTCAGCCGCTTTACACAAACATAAACACAAACAACACAGGAAAACAAAACAACCTGCCGCGCAGGTAGCAGGAATCCGGATATCCGCCATAGCAGGTAGGGTCTGGACAGGACGTCGCAAGGCTTAAGGGGGATTTCAAAAGATCTGATCAAAAACAACAACCCTCAAAATTGGACAATGCCCACAAACTCCACACAGCGCCAAATTGAAGTCAAAAGTTTGCAACCCCAGTCTCACAACCTGGCATTGTCCTACAGTTACCGCTGTATATTCCCTTGCGTGTACGTCCCTATATGTAGTAACCCGGCCGTGTGTTTTAAATTGGGTGCATGTGACGTTGATTTAGAAACAGCAACAGCACATGTGGCTAGACATGTGATATTTGCCTTTGGCAGTTTGAAGAAAAAAAAAACTTCTAAAAAAAAAGAACAGGACGAGTATATCCATATTACAAAACTTAAAAATAATACATAATTGCTTTCATAAGGTGCCTGTAGGACTATAAATATGTATGTATGATGTTAGATTAATTCTTTAGAAGGTGTAGAACGAATTGAGCCTGAGATGATCCCTTGACAGTGAGCCGATCGGTAGGGGTATGTTAACTTCAAAGGTTTACCTAATGACTTTAACTCACACAGACGCATACACTGCCAAACCCTGCTGGAAACGGGATGCGATTTGATTCAAAAATACATCACTTACGTTCTGAACTTTTGTATCTGTCATCATTCATGGTTAAAAAGAACAAAAGGACACAGAGGTTTGCTTGTACATAAGGCCATAGCATGTAAATTTTATGGATGACATCCTCCGCAGACTCCAAATCTAATGCGATAGGACGAAAAAAAGCAAGGCGGGCCGAAAAACAAGGTTCCTACATTCTCAAATTTTGACTCAATCATTGTACAAATGGTTTTGATTCAGTGGGAACATCACATATACACAGCCAGCACCACATATCACTGCATCAAGGTAAAAAAACATCGAATCAGAGTCTTTTCTTGCCTCCTGTCTTCATAGTTTCTTCACGTTCCGGCATGGCAACAGGCATCTTTGCCCATTTTCGGCATGTTGACCACTGTCAGAAGGCAACAAATTTTTTTAAAAATCCAAAATCAGGCGAAAATTAATGCGCGCTGTTGTCATCCATAAAAATTACTTGCTGTGGCCTAAGACCCAGAGCGCACTGGCAGTGTCAAACATGCCACGCTCCTCACCACTGGAAGAAGGATGTCATATCGCGTCCTAGCGAAAGCCAGATGGTGTAAACTTTGAGGCAAATTGTGACCAAGTCCTGGTGTTGACTTCCAGCCAAGTCCACGCCTCACGTGACCTAAGATAAACCACACTTCCAAGAGGCCTGCGGTCGAAAACCGTTCGTCGAAATCTCTCGCAAAATCTCATCTTCCGAGACTGGAAATCATTACACAGATAAGTGCTTAATGACACCCAAATCTTGTTGTTT